AGAAACTCACAGCTGCTGAATGTACCAAGCGCCAGGCACCATCCCACACAGAGGAAGTGGCAGTTGGAATTGCCAATACCCTTGGTCAAGGAGCCCAGGCCCTAGAGGAGAAGCAGCACCTGGAGACCAGAATAGTTCAGCCATTGGAGGTGCAAAGCAACAGGGAGATGGGGAACAACAGTCTCAAGGCAGCCAAGCTGCAGGCAGCCAAGGTAGAAAATGAGCCATGCAAGAGGAAAGTTACCCAGGAGCTAAAACTGAAAGGGCTTGAACAAGTCGTAGGCCTTGTGAAGGAGGGGCTGAGAAAGGGCTACAGGATGTGAGTGGTGTGGCTGGGAAACTAGAGCAGGGTTTGCTGGGACACAGGAGCCTGCCACACCAGTCAGAAGGAAGAAACCTGGAGAACTTGAAACAGAGGGTGTCTGCAACTGAGCTGGAAGGTGAGATTCCCAGCTCATGTAAATGTACCTGCACTAGCTCTGCTCAGGCTAGCACACTAAAGGTAGCAGTGTAGCCTGGCTAGGAAGGGCAGCTCAGGCCAGTTGCCTGAGTACGCACCAAGGGGGCTGGGTGGGTTTGTACTCAGGCATGTAGCTGAAGCTGCCACCTGTGCTACTCTGGCCACCTGGCTATTTTTAGGAGCTAGCTCAGCTACGTCTACATAAGCTGGGAATCACACCTCTTAGACGGGGCGGATCAAAAAATTGCCGCAACCACCAATCCCCCGCCAGCTCACCTCCGCTCCCACGCGGCAAGCCGGGGAGGGAGTGGGGAGAAGGGGAGTTGTGGCGCGCTGTGGGGATGGCGGCAGTGGAGCAGGGGTGAGCTGGGGCAGGGAGTGGTTCCCTGCCCCCTCCTTCCCCCCCAAGAGTTACTCCCTGTGCCCGCCGGCCCCAGCTCACCTCCGCTATCCCCCGAATGCGCCGCTACTCGCTTCTCCTCTCCTCTCCTTTCGCGCGGCAAGCCTGGGAGGGAAGGGGGAGAAGGGGAGTTGCGGCGTGCTCAGGGGATGGCGGTGGTGGTGGAGCAGAGGTGAGCTGGGGCAGGCCGGGGAGCGGTTCCCGGCCCCCCGTTACTCCCCGCGCCCGCGGGCCCTAGCTCACCTCTGCTCCGCCTCCTCTTAGCGCGCTGCAACTCGCTTCTCCCCCCCTCCCAGCGCGGCAAGCCTGGGAGGGAAGTGGAAGGAGGGAAGTGCAGCGCGCCTGGGGGAGGAGGCGGGCTGGGGATTTGGGGAAGGGGCAGAGTTGGGGAGGGGGCAAGAGCAAATTTGCTGCCCTAGGCCTAGGCCTTGTTGGCCTAGGTGATAATACGCCGCTGCTCTTAGATCAAATATAGACGTTTGCTAATAGAGGAGAAGGAACAGCTCCTGGAATAAGTTAAAGAACTAGACAGACAAAAGCTGAGGGCTCAGGAGAGGCAGAGGTGCAGGCTGAGGGCTCTGGTGTGTGCGATAAGAGAGAGCCCAGCAATAAATCACCAGGAGGCTGCATTTACACAGGGGAGTGCAGTGATGCTGCGGGTGTCCTGGGAGGCTTTTTAGCGGAACAAGTGGATCACGCACTGAAGGGCTGGATGTCGACAGGCACAGATACAGAGGTGCTGGCTATAAAGGAAGCTGCACTAGTGGCCGTGTCCTCTACAGATACCCAGCACACCCACTCACTAATGGACTGGGAAGAGCTAGAAGAAAAGGTTGCTGCAGCTGAGGGGAGCAGGGCAGAAGGCCTTGCACAGCTGAGCACCCTCCAGGCCCAAAGGCTGAGGCCCTGCAGGAGCTAGAGGAGATGCACTGACAAGGGACTGGATCTCAGCCCAAGCCATCCAACAGGAGCACTGGAAGGAGCCCGTCTCAGCACTGGAAGGCGACCAGGGAACAGCAGTGCTTGTTGTTGCAGAAGGAGTTGACTAATCTCCAGAACCAGCTTAAGATCGAATGTGGAATGAAGCCGGCTCTGAGACACATATAAAGCAGGAGAGCCCAGAGGCCTTGTGGAAAGACATGAAATTATGTCAGTGAGAGCAGGCACGGCTTCTCCAGAAAACAGAGCAGCTGGGCAGGGAGCTACACCAGCCAGCTGGACACAAGAACAGCGCTGTGGTGGGTGCAGAGGTACAGGCCCATCGTGTGGAAGCTGGACTGTCTGAGGTGGGTATTCCACCTGCTGGAGGGAAAAGTCACCATCAAAACACATGTCCAAGAGGAAGTTGAAATAGAAAAGGAAGAGACTGGGGACCTCTCCCCGCAGAGACCTGAAAGAGCAACACAAAGCCCGAACCAGAGCTGGGCTAAAATGGAGTCCATCCTACAGGAAAAGGGGAGGAGCAGAAAGGCATTTTCCTGGCTGATAACATTACACCCAGCCATGTGGACAGAAGAGGATCTGAAATGTGCTCCCAGAGCCCATTTACTGAAGGCTGCAGGAAAAAAAAGCTGTGCTCAGTAATAATTAGAGATGCTAATAAGAGTTATCTGAATGAAAGACAAACTTAACTCCAAAAGGCACGTGTGTGAGTGTGTCCTGGGAGGCAGCTATTTGAGGGATCTTGTAGCTACCTGGGGCTGTGTGTAACAGACCTTATTTAAGCTAACCTCAGCCAGACCTGGCAGAGCATTAAAGGGCCTTGTGATGAGCACATCTGGTGTGTATCTGGCTCCGGGGAAAGCTCTATAGCCAGCCTGTATCTGTTACAGCAGCATGAGGGCAATGGTGGAAGCCCGGTGCTATTGCCTACTTCTGCTGTGGCCAGAGGGCCTGACTTACAGAGTACAAGTTGTTCTGAACTACGCCATGCTGAAGACTATGGGGGATTTTGCCCATCACATGAGCTACACAGGACTGTGGGGAACAGAACTCCTGCTCTCTTCATTTTTTCACAATCAGTGACGAGAATAAAAATATGGCCAAGGGCCTTGTAGGTTTCCTTGTGGCAGAAGGAGAGGAAGTGCTCCCTGGCTGCAGAACATAACCAAGTATTAGCCATGGTCAAGCCTGCCTTTAGGTAGACCGGGGGAAGAGAGGTCATGGAGGCCGGCCCTTTAAGGGGACTCAGGGACCAGCCTACCTGTGACAGGCTCCTATAAGGGAGAACCAGTCAACCCAGCCCCACCTGGAAGTAATTAAATCCCTAGGTGGCTGGTTGGCAGCCAAACAGCTAATGAGCCTGATAAAGGGTTACCAGGGCTCAGCTGAAGGGATCCCAGAAACAGGAAGCTGCTGAGGAGAGGGGATCCCAGGAGAGCTCACAGAGCAAGGAGCTGGGAAGGGCTGTGCCTAGAGAGAGGAGCTCCTCTAAGGGGGAGGAGTTGCCAGAGGTGACATCGATAGAACAGCAGCTGTATGAGGACAGAGACCTGCAGGTGAGGGCTGCAGGGAACAAAGGTACAGTCTGAACTGAACCCGGTTCCAGGAAGGAGGGCTGGGGGCTCCTGACTTGAGGAGAGTGAGGATCTTGAATTAGAGCCAGAGGCTGGAGCAGAGTGAAGGAAAAGATTTTATTTTGGGGTTTACTGGGACTCAGAGTGGACCCCACCAGTGGACTTTTGTCTCAGAGCTTTTGGACTGTGGGGAGCAGTTTAAGGAGGGCTGAAAAGAGTAAACTGAGGCAGGGCAGTTGCAGGGCCACCCAGAGCTGGCTGAGGGGGAACTTGGTGGTGCTACCCCATCATGAGTCTGCACAACTGGCCCCCATTTAACAGAACTGCTGCCTGTTCCCCAGGCAGATGGAACCTCACTCTCTCCAGTCTGTCAGCTTGGGCCCAATGGAGCCTGCGTCCCTGAGTGAGAACCTGGAGCAACTGAGCACAGGGTGGTGCCTCCCTCCTGGCCTCCCCATCCCAGCTCCCAGGCTGTTCCCTCTTCCTTGCAGCCTCCGGCTGTCTCTGAACCTGCTGCCCTGCCCTGCCCTGTGCTTTGGGGGTATGGAGTCCCCTGATAACTGGATATTGAACTGGGGGTGACCCAGGACCCAGCATGGAGCCAGCAGGGTCACTGATGT